ACCCCCCCCCCCCCCCCCCCCCCCCCACCCCCGACAAGGCGGGGGGTGGGGGGGGGGGGGGGGGGGGGGGGGGGGAGGACTCAAAAGGACTTGAACTTCCAAGTTTCAGACTCGGGACTTGAGGATAAAGACTTGAGACTTGCAAAACCCCGACTTGGTCCCACCTCTATTATGCAAAAATCAACCCTTGAGTCGTGTCGTCAAAAACAAACCTGGAGTGTTTCTTTGATTCTTTAAAGCATGTTTAAGGAATGCTTGAATCCCCCATGACAAGCATTTTGGGGTGCTTCACCTGCTCTCACCCCACATATCTCCACAAAGTTTCTCTGCACTGCAGTCTTCAGCTCAGCTTCCGCCTCGCAGATCAGCCGCTCAGCGCCTCAGACTAGCTGCAGCAGCAATTAGCCAACAGCTGGTGGAGCTAAAAGTCTGCTCTTTCTGTCATAAGAGCTAGTTCTCAGCCCAACGCTCCTAGGAATGTTTTAAACGGCATAATTGAGAAAAGTTGTGATGACGTGCTGAAGGCGGAGTGTCTGAAAGACCAGGAGCTTCTTAAAGAGATCTACACCCAATTTCAAAGCACTAAATTTTTAAAAAGTAATTTTTTTAAGTATTTGTTTTTATAGCTGAAGGTAATTTGGTTACTAGAATAAAATGGCACTAAGTGTATTTTATTCAAATACATACGTACATAATACTTCCCCTTTAAAAACTGGACACATTTGGTTTTTCATTACTTTCAGATTCAATGTTTTATGAATACACCTAACTGTTCTTTGCAATTAGGGAAACCTGGAGAATTAGTGCTGCATCAAAAACATTTTTCCTCCCACTGTAAGATGGATATAAGAGGTTGTACAACCTTCAATGTATCTTCGGCTTTTAAGAGAAGTTTTACATTTCATGGAGTAAAATTACATTTATTTTCACATTTTTATTCCACTCTATTCTCATTCAGATATTTAATAAGACTACACTCAGCCATTCCTGGTGTCAATACCAGCAGTTTCATTAATCGAGAATGGATTTTATTTCAAGTTAGTTAATAAAAGCAACATGGGTCATGTATTTGTGTTTTTGTAGGTGTAAATAACTATAAATTCAGAATGCATTTTAATTTTTACAACAAATTTTGAACATTGTGATTTTCTCTAAATATGAGCATGAGCATGAAAAACAATATACATTTATCCTTAGGATTTCTCTCAGCTCAAACAATCTCTAACCCATTTGATGTTAGGAACTTCTCACCATATTTTAAACCTCTGAAAACCTTTTTCATGTTGATCCATGTGGAAAAACAATGAGGTAGACATTGGACATGCCAGAAAATTGAGAGCAACTATAATTTTTACAATGAACACAGCCTTTATATGGTGCAGCTTAACCAAACATAACAGAACACTACAAGGACAGAAACTTTAAAGATAGGATCGCATTTGATATGCAATCTAATAATGTTCTTATGCAAGTCCTCTGTAGTGCTTAGCAAGTTATATTGTTTTGACTGTAGGCTTCATGAAAAGCCTCCCTAAGACATTTTCTTGAGATTAGGATTGAAGTAATAGGAAGGTCTCGTGTTCCAGGTGAGCCTCAGAACTCCAGGAGCAACGAAAGCGGCTCCAGAGATCTGATGCTGATCTCTTGTTTCTGCCCATAGACTCCATGCTCCACCTTCATGCCCTCCTTTGTGCACTTGGCTGATTCTGACATGAGCTGTCTGCAGGCTCCAACTAGGCTTGAGAAAAGCTGAGCCCCCAGCCAAGGCTCACATCTGTCTTTGTACTGCATTCTTCTATTGGCCAGTGGCTCACCAACCAGGGAGTCTTGGGGAACCAATAAAATACTCCCAGGAAGGTCGAGAACTGACACAGTGTGTCTGTCTTTTCGAAAAACTTTAGTGGACATGAACTTGTTGGCTGTTGAGAAAAATATGGAAACGATAGGAGTGAGTACATTTAAACAGCAAGTTAAAGTAAATTGAGACATTTTTAGTGGTACATTGATAAGTTGGTATATTAATTAATTCTGTTATAAACTTGACGTTTTTAACATTTAATCAATTGAAATGTACTTTTATATCAATAAGAAGAAATAAATGGACTCACTTAATGAGGGAAAAAGTCTGGATGAAACCTGGACTTGTTTAAGGCAACTGTCAACATTTCTAAGTTTCATTGGTTACACTTGAGGCAAGACGACTGTCAGTGACAATCCAAAATTATATATAATATTCTTTATATAGCTCTATAAATAATGTTAACTTAAATCAAATCTAAAGACATTTATTTAAGTCAAAAAGTAATAACTGATGTATCTCATTCCTATGAAAAAAGGTGAATTTGAAAGATATCTCACCCATCTCAAGTGTGACCTCCTCTGTAGCTCCTTGAAAGAAGCACACGTATACAACCAACCCCTGTTCAATCTAAAGAGAGACACAATGATCATTTCTGATAAAAAAAAATACTGCATCTTATAAAACTGAAACAAGAAGGAAAACAATGAAAAAACAAGTTTGTTTATGCATTTGGTAAACACTTATCCAAACAAACTTACTAATTGGGATGTAACAGTATAGGCAATATTTAAGCTAACAGGTTACTGAGCAGGAAAACTACAGGTCAGGTTCTGTCAGAAGTGAGGCATAGAGGGAAGCACAGGGTAGGAGATGCTCTCCGAAGAACTGGGTCTTCAATAGTTTCTTTGAGTTCTACAACACTGTGGAACAAAACATGAAGAGTGTCTGGATTTTGTTGAGCTTAGCTCTACACTGCTACTCAACAGGAGTGACCAAGTTTGTAACATCAAGCTTCTGTGAGGCACAAGTTAAATTCTCTGCAGGCAGCTATGACCAGCAGGGTGATGTGTGCCACTGGTCTCCAGGCAGTCACGGTGGGAGACCATTAAATATTAATAAACATTATAAATGTTATATAGATAACATTTCTAAATTTATATAAATGATGGATCTATGAATACGTAGACCCATCATTGAATGCTGGGTCCTACATTATGTTGCCGCCATCTTGAATGTGGCAGCAGAGTGATTGAAGCACCATAATTCATGAGCTGCATAGACTTGTTTCAACCATTTTAAAGTACAAACTGGATCCATTAGCATCATCTTTCAATGCAATGAAGTAAGAATGAGAGAAAATAATAGAGCAGAATTTCTTGACTTTGGGACCAGAAACTAGCTTCTAAACAACCAAGTAAATAAGGTGGCCTGAAGTAACTGTTATTTTCTTAGCTTAGCTAACTTTTTTCCATATTGTGTAGTTTTTCTAATGAGAAGCACTGTTAGAAGGGAAATGCATTAAAGACCAGAGGATTTTGGTAGGACAGGTCAGACCATGGACCTATATAAAGAATAGACGCCTCATGGACCGCTCTTGCCTGTTGCCGCTGATGTGATGTTGGGCCGCCATCTTGGAGCGGTTCACCACTCCACTCAGCGTTATATGTATATGTATATATACAATGAAGTGTCAGCACATTTATAACACCATAAATACACACACACTATTGCCCTGGAAATACTACTACTACTACTACTACTACTACTACTACTAATAATAATAATAATAATAATAATAATAAGAAGAAGAAGAAGAAGAAGAAGAAGAAGAATGCATTTTATTTGACAGCACCTTTCAAAACACCAAAGGACAAGTTTTTCAACAGAGACAATATACATTTTTAAGTAAGTTTCTTGAAAATGATTAAAAGAGGAGATTTTTTCACTCCATTTCATCTTGTGGACATAATATGTTGCTAGGATTACAATAAGATTAACTATATATTCTTCATCTGAAGAAAAAGTTGAATTGTTAAAGATGAGTAAAATATGTAAATTTGATAAAACAATATTTTTTCAAATTTTTATCCAGATCAGAACAGAGCTATTTACTAACATCTAGTGATGCGAAAAGATATGAGACCTTGATATTCCTTCTGCTTTGCTTAATAGTATTAAATCCCTAGCTAACCAACTGTTACATTTCTTTTTAACAGATTCACAAACAGGAGTAAAATTACCCATGTTACTGTGGTCAGTGGAGATTTTAATTCCTAAGTAAGTTACGGTGTTTTGTTACAGGGATATTATACATTTCAGTAACAGCGGTTGCATGTAAGGGAATGATTTCACATTTTTTACATTGAGTTTCAACCCTGAAGTGCTAGAGAATTAAGCTATAACAGACAGAGCTACAGGAATTTCATTAGAATTTTTTAAAAACACTGTTGTATTGTCAGGAAGTTGTGAAATTTTAAGTACTTAATCAAATATTTTAATTCCCTCAAATGAGCTCTGTCTAATTAAATAGTTTAAAATTTGGCCAACAAGCAGAAAAATGTAAGGGGAGGCCGGACATTCCTGACGAACCCCTTTATTGATATTAAATCGGCTAGATGTGTCTTAAAGGCTTTAATGAAAAAGTTACCAAAGTTAAAAAAGGACAATGTGTCAAAAATGAAGTTGTGACTAACTGTATCAAAGGCCTTTTGATAATCTAAAAACAGAATAATTGGGTCACCAGGGATAAGATCTTTATAATCAACTAAGTCTAACACTAATCGAATATTATCAGAAATGTTGCCTCCAGGCATGAAGCCGTTTTGAGATTCATGTATAATATCATTTAAACCATTTTTCAGTCTTTTAGCTAAAATGGAGGCCAACATTTTATAGTCATTATTTAACAGAGTGATGCGGTGCCAATTATCTATTATTAAAGGGTCTCTATTTAGTTTAGGGATCAAAGTGATAGAAGTTCTTCATTGTGAATGGATTCATTATAAAGTGCGAGAAGAAATTCTGAAGTTTCAGCCGAGAATTTCTGATAAAATTCTGACGTCAAACCATCATTGCCTTGTTAGATTTCAGGTTACTGATGCTCCATTTTATCTCCTCAATACAGAGTATTTCATCACAATCCTCTTTTAAAGATTCATTAGCTTTGTTCGCTTCTACTAAAGAGTTTAATATATCTGTGCTATTTATACAGTTGTCATTTTTATAAAGATCTCTATAAAAATTTGATATATATTTAGAAATTACTGAATAATCTTCTATTACAGAATTATCTATATTTAATTTGGATACTGATTTCCTTTCAAAATTTCTTTTTTCCATGTTAAAAAAGTATTTGCTATTTTTTTCACCCTCCTCAATCCATTTTAATCTGGACCAAATAAAAGCGCCACATGCTTTTTCTTTATATATCTCATCTAACTCTTCTTGATGTTTCTGTAGTTGTGTTACAACTTCGTCATCTAGTAGTAATGCCTGAGATAGATTTGATTAATTGCTCTAGCTTTTCTTTTTTATGCAGTTTATTCTTTTGCTAAATTGGATTGCATACCTGATAATTCGCAATATTTTCCAAATTGGTTATTATAGCGATTGTCCAGGACTGTTTGATTAGTTTTTGAATGAATGATGTAAATTCTATGTTATTTAATAATGAGTTGTTAAGTTTCCAGTGGTTATACACTCTCCTTAATAGAAAGATTTACTTTTAAACAAATGGTTTTGTGATCAGTTAAAACTACAGGGCAAATTTTAACCTCCGTTACTTGACTCTCCATGTCCTCTGAAATAAGCCATAAGTCAATTCTACATTGAGTTGAAAAGATTTTGTTATTCCAGGTGTATTGTAAGTCAGTAGGATGACGACGTCTCCAAATGTCTAATAAATTTAACCGGTTAGAGAAGTTCATGAGATGGTTCTATCCGTTTCTAAATCTAGAGGGATGCCGATCCAGTTGAGTGGAAAAGACCATATTAAAATCTCCCCCTAAAATAACCTTTGCTCATGGAAACTTAGTACCAAGAAAAAACATGGTGTCCTCCAGCTCTTTTAAGAAAATAACATTTAAAGAATCAGAATTATAACCATAAATATTGCCCAGCAAAAAGATGTAAGAGTGAAATTCAACCACTAAGAAAATCCAATGACCCTTATTATCAGATGTAACATCTAAAACTTTACCTTTGAAGTTATCTTTTATCTGTGCCCTGCCTCTCGCCTGGAACATTAGCTGGAGAGAGGCAGCAGCACCTCTCAGGTTCTGCAGCCCAGGACAACTGTACTATGTTCCACAATTCCTCTGTATTTCTTGGTTTTGCCTTATGAACAGCATTTTTTTTTTAAAATCTCAGTCCACAAGTTTTCTATAGGATTAAGGTCTGGGGATTGTGCTGGCCACGCCATTACTTGAATTCTGATTGTCTGATGACTTTGCTTGATTGCTGGTGCGTTTGGGGTCATTGTCTTGTTGAAACATCCATTTCAAGGACATTTCCTCTTCAGCATACGGCAATATGACTTCTTCCAGTATTCTGGTGAAGTCAAACTGGTCCATGAATCCCTAGTATGTGATAAATGGGACCAACACCATAGTATGAGAAACCTCCACATATCATGATGCTTCAACCACCATGCTTTATCGTCTTCACTGTGTACTGTGGCTTGAATTCAGAGTTTGCAGGATGTCTGACAAACTGTCTGTGGCCCTTAGAACCAAAAAGAACAATTTTACTTTCATCAGTCCACAAAATATTACGCCAATTCTTTTTAGGCCAGTCAATATATTCTTTGGAAAACTGTAGCTGCTTCAGCACAACATTTTTTAACAATGACTTTGCGGGGGCTTCTTGCTGGTAGCTTGTTATTCTCCGATTCATTGGAATAGTTGTTTTTCTTTTTCTTCCTCAACTTTCTGGTTTTGGCTGCCATTTTAAAGCATTTGATACCATTTTAGCTGAATCATTTTCTACACTTCTTTATAGGTTTTTCCCTCTTTTATTAAGTTTTTGATCAAAGAACGCTCTTCTTCTGAACAGACACACGTTACTCTGTTTTTCAAGAACAAATGCACAACCAGCATCATCAGTTGCTTTCATCCTTAAATAAGGGTCACCTATTTAACACCTGTTTTTTTTTTACAAAACCAATGACCTCACTAATTGAACTCAGCACTGCTGTTTTTTGGAACACATTCCTTTCAGTAAATGATTCAGTTTCACAGAATCAGCAGAATGCATATCATGCCTGTTGGGTCTGTAGGTTTTCTATATGTTTACTAAACCTTCTAAAGACTTAATGTAATGTAAAAGTTGAAATTCAAACAAAAACAGTGATTTATCTGGCTAGTGATGTGGACTGCTATTATTTATAACACA